CTGTCAGCACAGAGCCCGATGCAGGGATCGAACTCACGAGCAGTGAGATCATGGACCTCAGCTGAAGTCTTAACCGAATGCTTAACTGACTGAGCCACCCAGGCACCCTTCTTGCTGAATGTGATCTTAAGCTACATGTGGAATAAAGCTAATTCTGCTCTTGCCTTGGAAGAACAATATTTATTTTTATTCCTGCAAAGCAGTGTTTCATTCAACAAACAAGAAAAAATATTTTTTTTAAATTCAAGTTAGTTAACATACAATGTAGTCTTGGGTTCAGGAGTGGAACCCAGTGATTCATCTCTTACATATAACACCCAGTGCTCATCCCAAAAAGTACCCTCCTTAATGCCCATCACTCATTTAACCCATCCCCCACCCACCTTCCCTCCAGCAGCCCCCAGTTTGTTCTCTGTATTTAAGATACATGCCATTAAGCATGGCAATGATCTCTAAAAATACGAAAAAATGCAGAAAAATCTGAAGAAGCAATAATAGCCACCTGGATTCTCAACTTCAGCATTTATCACTGACATATATGTTTCCAGACTCCTTTTAAGCATATTTACAAATAAAACTGGGATGTTATTTTTACTTTTTTTACCTTAATTTTTTTATAAGCCAACTTTTTAAAGGTGTAATTTATATATAATAAAGTGCACCTAATTATAGTATACAGTTTGATGAGATTTGCCAATCGTATATACTCAAGTAACCACCACCGCACTCACGGTATAGAACTTTCTATCATCCCTCAAATTCCCCAGTGCCTCATTTGCAGGAAATCCTCCCCACCCCTGACCCCAGACTCAGGCAACCATCAACCTTTTGCCATTTCTAGAATCTCATATAAATGAAATCATGCAGTGTGAACTCTTCCACTTAGAATAACATTATTTATATTTATCCTTGTTGCAGATATCAAAGTTCATTCCTATTTGGTAAATAGTATTGCATTGTATGAATAAAGGACATGAAAAAAATATTCATCTACTGATGGGAATTTGGCTTGTCTCCAGTTTTGGGCTATTATGAATAAAGCTGCTATGAACATTCATGTATAAATTTTCTTGTGGACATATGTTTTCATTTATTTTAAATTTTTTTTTTTCAACATTTATTTATTTTTGGGACAGAGAGAGACAGAGCATGAACGGGGGAGGGGCAGAGAGAGAGGGAGACACAGAATCGGAAACAGGCTCCAGGCTCTGAGCCATCAGCCCAGAGCCTGACGCGGGGCTCGAACTCACGGACCGCGAGATCGTGACCTGGCTGAAGTCGGACGCTTAACCGACTGCGCCACCCAGGCGCCCCTGTTTTCATTTATTTTAGATAAATACCTAGGTGTTGGATCGCTGGATAAATAGTGTGGCAATGTTTAACCTCATGAAAAAGCTACCCAACTGTTTTGTGACTGTTTTGCCACCAACCATGTCTGAGATTTCCAGTTGCGGCACGTCCTTGGTAACGCTTGATATGGTACATCTTTTTTATTTTTAGCCATTCTAGCAGCTATAGAGTGGTAGCTCATTGTGTTTTCATTTTTTTGTTTCATTTAAAAGTCCAGCAATACTACTAGTGTCTTACTTGGGAGAGACTTCAAACTTTGAGTCTGCCCTGGTTCAGTTTCAGACTTACTATGTAGGTCATTCTTTGCTCTAGTTGGAATTGGCCTCCTAAGAACTAAAACTCCCAGGACAAAACCACAGCCAGAGCATGAGTGTGCCAACAGTACAAAATTGCCAAGAGGCCAGTAGGTCTGCATTGAGCAGTTGTGATTCAGAGCATCTGATTCTTCTATTGCTTCTGATATGGCTTCCCGGATGGGTGAGAGCAGGGTAGTGATTTCTTTGAATTACTGACAAATCGCTGCCTTTCTTAGCTGCCTGCAGAGGTCCTCATTCATTTATCAATAAATATTAATTGTAAACTGTCTATGTATCAAACATTGTTCTGGGTGCTGGATATATATCAGTGAATACACAAAATCCTTGCCCTTTGGTACTTATATAACGTCAAGGGAGATGAAAGCTATAAGAATAAAGTAGAGGGGCACCTGGGTGGCTCAGTCAGTTGAGCTTCTGACCTGGCTCAGATCATGATGTCATGGTTTGTGAGTTCAAGCCCTGCATCAAGCTCTCTGCTCTCAGCACAGAGTCAGCTTTGGATCCTCTGTCCCTCTGTCTGCCCCTCCCCTCTCCCCGCTCATGCATACTTTCTCTTTTTCTCTCTCTGAAAAATAGATAAACTTTAAAAAAAGAACAAAGTAGAAATGTGTAGATTGTTAAAAATTCTGCTAATTCCACTTAGCAGGGAAGGATTCTTTGGGAGGACATTATGGCATAACAGGTGATGCCACATTAAGTTTCTCACCTGAGAGAGTTTATGAGGGACTTGTGGGAGGAAGGCCATCTCCATGTGAATTGCATTGCTGGCTTAGCTGAGGAAGATGAAATGCATAGACAAACTGGAAAGGTGGAGATCAGGATCTTGGGGGCTCCTTCTCTGCCTTACCCACTGCAAGACTGTTGTCCAAAAAGTCTTCTTTTCCAACTGTCTGAGAGCTACATCTCAAGGATGACACTTCTTGTTCCTAATCTTCCACTTTCAACCACTGGATTCTATAGATTCTACCTCCATAAAACCTCTCATATTGCTCCAGTCCCATGACACTGCCCAGTTCAGGTTGTCACCAGGAAACTTTTGAGTAAGTGCTCCAGAACGCTGATGGTCTCCTGGGCTCCAGACTTGCCCCCCTTCTCCAATACCTTTGCCATAGCCAGAGATGCCTTTCCAAAGAGCAAACTTGGTCAAGTTGTTCCCTTGTTTAAAATACCCCCATGTCAGTATGAAATCCAACTACTTGTCGTGGTCCACAAGGGCTTTCATGGTAGAGTGCTAGTAACCCTTTTAGTACCATTGTTGTTCCTTCCTGTCCCCTGAACCTTCCATCCTGGCTGTGGAACAATTTACTGCTCCTCAAATGTATCATTATTTTGATGAGCCTTGTCTAATTTCCCCAAAATCTTGTGGGTGTTTCTCCCGGGTGCCCGCATAGGACCAGTGCAGCCATCTGTCATAGCACTTGTATGTATACTGTACCATAATTGCTATGGATGGATCTGTCTCTCTCCTAAACTTGGACTCCTTGAGACAGGAATTGCAACTCATTATTTTTGTAGCCCTCTCACAGAGCCTGATGATGGCTGAATCGAATGGATGAATAAAAGAGAAATTGAGTGAGTAATTGCATAAATTAATGAATGAAGGGAGAGATGATGAATGGATGGCATGATGGTTCAGCTTTTCTAAAGGAGAGCCTGGATTTTGTATTGATGTTGCAAATGCGTTGTGGAGCTGGGCCTTTACTGAAACAAGGATGTCAGTCCTTGGTGTTTAGAAACCTAGGATTCTTGGGGTGCTTGGTGGCTTAGTCAGTTAAGCATACGACTCTTGATTTTGGCTCAGGTCATGATCTCACGGTTCATGAGATCGAGCCCTACTTGGGATTCTTTTTCTCTCCCTCTCTCTCTGCCCCTCCCCTGCTTGTTCTCTCTCTCTCTCAAAATGCATAAATAAACATTAAAAAAAAGAAACCTAGGGTTTGTTTCTCATCTTATGTCTGTCTCAGGTAGTAGCATTGACACACTTTGAGAAAACATCTGTATTCTTTGCTTTTGTTCACAATGTCTTTGCAAAAGATCTCTGGCCTTTCCTCTTTATCCTTTGGGTTTTGGAAGTGTCTTTCTTTTAGGAGCTATTAAATCACCAAAAGCAAGAGAGATTCTGGAGGGCCACTGAATGCTTGAGGTATAAGTGGGTGGGGGGAAAACATGGAGGAGAAGCATAGAGGCAAGATCAAGTACTTTCTGGGGACAAGTAGAGCCAGTGGTCTGGGACAGGACCGTTCATAGAACAGGATGGAGGGCAACACAGTTGGCTGAGCCTATGACATGCAGCTTTGACAGTCTTTTGAGAAAGGTCAGACCAAACAGAATGGTGAGGAGGAAGGAGAGCATCCCTAGATTAGGGGGCAAGCTGAGTGGGATCTTTAGCAAGTGACTTAAGCTTTCCAATTTCAACCACCTTTCCTTTTCTTTACCTATAATGGGAAGAGACAAGTTCTTATCTTGGGGGATTGCTGATGGTTTTAAATAAGACCATTTCGGGGCGCCTGGGTGGCGCAGTCGGTTAAGCGTCCGACTTCAGCCAGGTCACGATCTCGCGGTCCGTGAGTTCGAGCCCCGCGTCGGGCTCTGGGCTGATGGCTCAGAGCCTGGAGCCTGTTTCCGATTCTGTGTCTCCCTCTCTCTCTGCCCCTCCCCCGTTCATGCTCTGTCTCTCTCTGTCCCAAAAATTAAAAAATAAATAAATAAATAAATAAGACCATTTCTGCAAAGCATAGTCATTTAAAATCCAGCCCAGACATCCCTTCTCCCACAGAGCTCACCACTGCTCTCCTCTACTAATCCCTGTATGTCTATTGTTGACCTTACCATGGCACTGCAATGAGTTTGCCTGCATGCTTGTCTGCCCACCAGAGAATGAGATATGTAGGAAGGAGTGAGTAGGTCCTATTCATGTGGACATCCCTAATGGCTCCCTTCTCCCCACGGCTTGGCTTGGTACAGAGGACTAGAAGATGGATAAATTATAAGTTCCTCTCTTCTTCCCCTGTTCCTGCCACTCAGAAACACAGATCATTCGGTTTGAAGGCCACGATGCTTATGCCAAGATGATCTGTTGCGCCGAAGATTCCAAATTTAGCAAGTCAATAAACAAACAGCTTCTTTATGGGTAGATAAACAACTTCCAGATCAACAAACCTTGGCATAATAAGATGTTCCTCTGAAAACCGGCCCAAACAGCAATGAGGAAAAGACGCAGGGTCTCCAAACAGCACATGCCAGTGAGTTGGTATAAAAGTGAGGGCTTGGGAGAGCTGTCCCAGTCAGGCAGCACCCCTCTCAGCACTCACAAGGAGCAGAGGCACCACCACCATGTCTGGAAACTGCTGTTCTAGGAAATGCCCATCTGTGCCAGGCATCTCTCTCTGCTCCAGTGAGGTGAGCTGTGGAGGGCCTGTCTGCTTGCCCAGTTCCTGCCGGAGCCAGACATGGCAACTGGTGACCTGCCAAGATAGCTGTGGGTCATCTAGCTGTGGCCCACAGTGCTGTCAGCCCGCCTGTTCTGTGAGCAGCTGTGCCCAGCCTGTGTGCTGTGAGGCCACCATCTGCGAGCCCCCCTGTGTTGTGAGTAGCTGTGCCCAGCCTGTGTGCTGTGAGGCCACCATTTGTGAGCCTTCCTCTGTCCCAGAGCAGCCAGTGCCCAGCCTTGTGTGCTGTGAGAGACCACCGTCTGTGACCCGGGCTCTGTTCCGAGTGCTGTGCCAGCCTTGTGGCGTAGCTACCATCTGTGAGTCCTGCCTGTGCCCAGCAGCTGTGTGCTGTGGGCCGACTACCATCCTGTGAACCCACTGTTCTGTGGTCGAGTGCTGTGCCCAGCCTGTGTGCTATGAGGCCACCATCTGTGAGCCCGCCTGTGCCCAGCCTGTGTGCTGTGAGGCCACCATTTGTGAGCCTTCCTGTCCTGTGAGCAGCTGTGCCCAGCCTGTGTGCTGTGAGGCCCATTCCTGCCAGCCGGTCCTCTGTGTACCCACTCCCTGCCAGTCCATCATCTGTGAGCCCAGCTGCTGCCAGCCAGTCATCTGTGAGCCCAGCTGCTGTTCAGCTGTCTGCACTGTGCCTAGTTCCTGCCAACCAGTGGTCTGTGAGCCTGTCTGTCAGCCGGTGTGCCCCACGCCTAGCTGCTGTCCATCTGTATGCTCTGTGGCTAATAGCTGTCAGGCTATCTGCTGTGACTCCAGTCCTTGTGAGCCATCTTGCTCAGAGCCCAGCAACTGCCAGCCAGCTCGCTGTGTGGCCCTGGTCTGTGAGCCTGTGTGCCTTCGCCCTGTCTGCTGTGTCCCAAGCCCTTGTGAGCCGCCTTGTGTCTCGAGCACTTGCCAAGAGCCCTCTTGTTGTGTCTCCAGCATCTGCCAACCCATCTGCTCTGAGCCCAGCCCCTGCTCAGCAAGTATCTGTGCACCTAGTCCATGCCAACCTACTTGCTACGTAGTCAAGCGCTGTCGGTCTGTCTGCTGTGAGCCCGTTTCCTGCCCATCTACCTCCTGCCAACCTCTCTGCTGCCGCCCAGGGTCTTCTGCATCTGCCATCTGCCAGCCAACTTGCTCTAGGACTTTCTACATACCCAGCTCCTGCAAACAGCCTTGCTCTCCTTCGGTTCCTTACCGCCCAATCTGTCGTCCAATCTGTCGCCCAATCTGCTCTGGACACATTACTTACAGGCAGCCATATGTGACATCCATCTCCTATCGCCCTGCCTGCTACCGCCCATGCCACCCCATCCTGCGCCGACCAGCCTGTGTCACTTCACTGTCTTACCGTCCAGTCTGCTCCCGCCTGCCTTGTGCTGACTCCTGTAAACGAGATTGCAAAAAGTCCACTTCCAGCCAACCAGATTGCACTGACTCAACGACCTGCAAGGCTGAGGTCTCAGATTCCAGTCCCTGCCAGCCCACTGAGGCCAAACCCACCAGCCCAACCACCCGTGAGGCTGAAGCCACCCCGCCTACTGCCACCAAGCCTGCCGACCACTGATCTGGCCTCAGCCCACCAATTCCTGCAAAGCAAACCTCCAGCTGGAGAGAAACCTCGACTGCCCTCCCCAAAGCTCACAACGACTTAGAATCTTTCTTCACCATCACTCACCATCTTCTTACACTTCAAAAAACTCACCAGAAATTTCAGTATCTTAATCGTCCAAATGCAGGCCCCCTGGGCACTGAGAGGGGGAATCATCCTGAGCTCCTGCCCGCTGCTGCCATCAAGCTGAGAAGGGCTGCTTCGCCACGTCATCTGGAGTCTCTTCCCCAGCGTTAGGTTTTTTTCTGTCCTCATGCCTGTGTTGCCTTGCTGGGTGTGCTCATGTTCCTTGGGGACATCTTCCATGAGAAAAAGATATTTCACTGTCCAATAAAGTGGCTAAGTTGAAGTGGCATGTTATTCTCATTGTGCTGTTGTTAATATTCATATTCTCATCAGCTTATTTTGACAGCAACTTCATCCACTCATCCATCCATCCTTCCAACACGCTTCATTAGACAGCTGTTGGCTGGGGACTGTGGTAGGCTGTAGGACTGAGAAGTCAGCCTTTGCTCTAAGGGAGCTCACTGTTGGAGTGGGGATGGGGAGAGACAGATAGGCAGAGAGACAATTACTACGTTCTGTTGTGCTAAGTACTGGGACAGAGGCAAGCACAGGGCAGTCTGAACTCAGAAGGGTACGGAGAGATAGGAAAGAATTCTTGGGGAATGTGAAATTGAAGCTGGGTCTTTCAGCACAAATAAGAATGGACCAGGTCAAAATCAGAAAGGAAGAGCTTTCCAGGCAGAGGAAACATATACACGAATGGGGCTTGTGAGCACACTGTTCGTTACTGAGGCTTGGGCAGAGGTGTGCTTAGAGGCATGGTGAGTTCTAAGGTCAGTTAAGTAGACAGTAGTGACCTGAACCCATCGGGCCTTGTAATCTATACAGAGACATCTTCGTTTGGTGCACGGTTGACATGAGAGCACTGGGGGGGCCAGATATAGAGCAGTGACATGAAGAACACTTAGTTTTGGAATGTCCCTCTGGCCTTGGTGTAGAGAAATGAATGGAGGAGCATGGACTTGGATATAGGGAAACTGGGGAGCAAGCCAGTTGACTTTGGGGTTCACAGTGGAATGAAAATAAGTGGGAGGTCACATGTACAATAAGAAAGACAACTGGATTTTTTTTGTGCAAGAGCTTTATTTATATTCTCCTCGTCTCTGTGAGGCACAATCCTTGTGTAAACTTCATACACAGCCTCTTACAATCCTAAGGACAGAGTCTCTTCGGAGTAGTCTCTTAGGGCACAGGATGAGGGGCTATGTCTAGTCCTCAAGGTGCATCTTGGGCTAACCTAAGCACAAGAGGGGGTAGAGCAGGGTTTCTGAACTTCAGTGCTATTCACATTTTGGGCTAAATAATTCTTCCTTGTGGGCATCATTCTTTAACATTGTAAGATATTAAGCAGCATCTCTGGACTTCACCAACTAAATGCTGGTAGCATCCCCTGAGTGTGGCAACCTAAAATGTCTCCAGACATTGGCAAACACCCCTGGGGATGAGGGGCAAAAATCATCCCTGTTTGAGAACTTCTGGGTGAGACAGCAGCAGAGGGAGAATCTCAAAAGTGGAACTTATCCTGCATGTTGCTGTCAGGGGTACTGTCTCATCAGCCTATTGAGATTTATCTCCATCTCCTTCCAGAGTCAAGAGAGGAGTGGGCCAGGGCTTTAAAATCTCTGTCCCAAGCACAGACCCAGTGTTTCATGCAAATCATAGCAGTTCTGTGAAATAAGATGCTTTTCTCTCTATTTTACAAGATGAAGAATATGAGTGACAAACAATCCAAGGGCCCATCAATAGAGACAAGAACATTGTGGTGTATTCACTCAATAAATACTATGCTGCAATGAAAACTAGACAATGGCCATATGTAAAACAGGGGTGAACCTGACCAGTGTAGAGTTGATACAAACAAGCCTCCAGACCACATATATATTTAAAGCTGAAAAACAACACACACACATACATGCACACACACATGTATGAGTATACACACATGTATACATATGCACATGTATACACACTTACACATATATGCCATATGTATATTCACAGGGGAATGCTAAACACAAAATTCAGGACAGTCACAGCTAGAAAGTAACATACAAGAGTAACATACAACATAAATGCATGTAACATACAAATAACATACAGAACATACGGTTCAGTCCAAAGTTTGTGTTTTTTATACATCACTATGTCTCTTGCTGTGATCACAACAGCCCTTGGTGATACATTCGATGTCTTTAGTGCCTTGCCATAGCAAAGTGAAAGGTCTCCCTATTGAGAGATACCTTTTTTTCATCTTTATTGAGGTATAACTGACAAAATTGCAAGATATTTAAAGTGTAAATTGTGATGATTTGATACACACATATATAGTGAAAAGAATCCTCCTATCTAATCAACTAACACATCCATCACCTCACATTTCTGGGGATGTGAGAACATTTAAGTTCTCTTAGCAAATTTCGATTATGTAATACAGTGTTATTAACTAGAGTCACTATGTTATATATTAGATCCCCAGACCTTATTCATCCTATAGCTGAAAGTTTGTACCTTGTACCAACCTATTGAGAAGTTTCTTTAGGAGAAAAAAAGGCAAGAGCAGAATCAGAGAAAGATGGATGTTAAAATCGATTACTTTAAAAACAATAAAAGTGGTATGAATGAGCACAGGACATTGGTACCTTTTTCAGAGCGAAGTTGACATGGCTTCTCAAATATATTCATGTTCCCATTATCTGATCTATTTGGTAAGACCAGAAGTATTTCTCCTGAAAGATGGAGAGCTTTGGGATGTAGACCTTCAGGAATAAAACAGCGCAGTGATCTTTGCAGTTTGCAAGGTGCCAAAATGATTAATGATGAGTTGGATGGCAAAAGGAGTGATCGGGGCTGTAACACAAAAAGCAATGGTTAAAAAAAAAGGCATTTTAATGACAAGGGTGAGGATTTCCCAGATCATGATCTCATGGTTCATGAATTTGAGCCCTGTGTCAGGCTCTGTGCTGATAGCGGGGAGCCTGCTTGGGATTTTCTCTCTCCCTCTCTCTCTTCCCCTCCCCCACTTGCTCTCTCAAAATAAATAATAAATAGACTAAAAAAAAGAGTAAAAATAACTTGAACAACAGCAATGCAGTTAGTTGGTAAACTCTTGGTACTTTGCACACTTGGGTAATGAGTCATCTTTTCCCGTGGAATGCGTTAGTAGCAGAGCCCAAAAATGAAACTCTACCCTATTGGGATCCCAAGGCCATGATCTTTCTATTCTGTCATGAATTTCTGGTGTGAACCAGGTCAGGACAGGGAATGATGTGGGTTGCTGAAGTTGGCCAGTAATGCAGAGCCTTGACAAATCTAGAAAAAGACGGGAAGAATCAGTACAACCAGCACCTCATAAGCCCCTCTTGGAAGAGGCTGATTTAATCCTTGGGAAAATACTTCGCAGTTATTAAAATTTCCAAATTAAAAGAATGTCTTTGGGTGTATGGATAAGTGGAGGTAAGTATTCATACCAGTTTAATCTAGTTGATGACTCTAGTCACTAATGGGCAAATGGTCCCCAGCAAGGGGCCTGGCCACCTGCCCACTAGCCAGTGTGCTGTTGTACTAAGGTCAGTCTTCAATCACTATATCACAGTCTTTCTCCTCCACTCCAAAGTCAGGAGGTCTAATAGGTGATTACAATCCGAGGTTTGGGGGTCAGTCCCAACTAGGTTTGGATCTTGTTTCAACCTCTTATTACTTGCATAATTTGGAGAAATAGGATTTAAACTCTCTGAGTTAGTTTTGCTACCTCTAAGATAGCAGTGGGAATTGCAGCTACTAATAAGGACCATTGCAAAGATTCAATGAAAAATGCAGTCAAGGGCTTGGTATATAGTAAGTATGCTATAAATGGAATGGAAGCCATTAGTATTAGTATTAGTATTAGTATTAGTATTAGTATTAGTATTACTAATAAAGTTGGGTTTCAGGAAAGTCAAATGGGAAGGTTCTAGAAAGAGGTGGAGACACTGAAGAGTCCTTGGGATGTACTGCCTGGTTCACCATCTCAGACATCGCCCTCTTTCAATTGGGTCAAGGCTTCATTTCCTGATTGTCTAAATGGTGCAGAACTGCATTCCTGGTGGAAGAGCAGGTTGCTTTGGCTGGGCTGAGGCCTTCTGATGAGAGGTTAGCACAGGGAAAGGCCCACTTCAGGGAGGCTGGAGAGCAACCTGTAAAAAAGACAGCTCATTCCAGAGCAGGAGCAGCATCAACGAATCCAAAGGCGACAAAGAAAACTCTCAACTCAACAGACAAGTTTTTAAACTGGGGACAATATCTTCCAGGCTCCCGAAGCCTACTAATCAGATGTTTGTATACAAATGAGTAGAAACAATAACAAGGAAAGATGCTCCAAGTCATACCAACACCCCTGAAGAGCTATAAAAGCCCCTATAAGAGATATCTTTCACACCCAGGTATACTGAGTTTGCAACTCCCTAGCGAGCTTCACATCAGCACCATGGTGGACAGCTGCTGCCCCGGAACCACCACGGCCATTCCAGCTGTGCCCACCTTCACGTGCTCAAATGGTGGCAGTTTCCAAAACGGTATATGTTTGCCTAGTTCCTGCCGGAGCAGAACTTGGCAGCTGGTCACCTGCCAAGAAAACTGTCAGCCATCCAGCAGTGCACCAAGTGGCTGTGAACCTGCTTGCTGCCAACCTACCTGCCTTCCGGCAACTTCTTGTGTTGGTTTTGCCTGCCAACCCATTTGCTCCCGCACAGCCTGCTATGAATCTGGAACTGGTCAGTCTCCTTATTTGGAACCCTCCTGCTTGGAACCCACCAGTTGTCAGGCAAATTGCTGTGAAACCATCCTCGACCAGCAAAGCTCCTGCCAAGAACCTATCCTTGTGTCCAGATCAGCTTGTGGCCAATTGGTCTCCT